AAACAAACACTTAAAAGAAGAAAACAAAAAGATACATACAAGATTCCAGTTATAACTATTAGGGTTACAGTGTACAATTCAAGGACTATACCTAATGCTGTTGTGTAATATGTAGGGAAGTTGTTAAGACTAAATGCTAAGAATTCTCTTCATAAGAACAAATTTCTTTTCCTTTCCTTTTTTTTAATAGTATTTCTATGAGAAGATGATTGTTAGCTAAACCTACTATAATCATTTCACAATATATGTTAATTAAACCATCAAAAAAAAAAATGAAAAAAAATGAGTCAAAGAATGTAACAAACACCTCACTAAAGAAGATACATATGAAAAGATTCGCCACATCGTATGTCATCAGGGAAATGCAAATTAAAACAACAATGAGATTCCACTACCTACCTATTACAATAGGTGTTTGGCAGTTTCTTTCAAAACTAGACATGTTCTTACCACGTGATCCAGCAATCACACTCCTTGGTATCTACCCAAAGGGGCTGAAAACTAATATCTGCACAAAAACCTGCACGTGAATGTTTACAGCAGCCTTATTCATAATTGCCCAAATTTGGAACACCCAAAATGGCCTCCCGTAGGTGAATGGAAAAATAAACTGCTATAATCTTCTGACAGAAGATTATCCAGTGCTAAAAAGAAATGAGAAATGAAAAGACATGGAGGAATCTCAAGGGTATATTCTAAAGTGAGGGAAGACAATATGAAAAGGCTACATAGTAGTGATTCTAATTACACGACATTCTGGAAAAGGCAAAACTATGGAGACAGTAGAAAGATCAGAGGTTGCAAGGGATTAGAGAGGACAGAGGGGTGAACAGGCAGAGCCCAGGAGATTTTTAGTGAAATAGTCTGTGTGATACCTTCATGTTGGATTCATGTCATTGCACATTTGTCCACAGCCACTGAAATTACAACCAAGAGTGAATTCTAGTCAAACTATGGACTTTGGGTGATAATGATGCATCAGTGTAGGTTCATCAATTGTAACAAATGTACCACCGTGGTGGGGGATGTCAGTTGATAGTGGGAAGGTTATGCACATGCGGGGGTTTGGGGATTATGGGAAATCTCTGTATGCTCCATCCAATTTTGTCATGAACCTAAAACTGCTCTAAAAAATAGTCTTTTAAACCCAGCAGTAGCACTGCTAGGAATTTACCCAAGGGATACAGGAGTACTGATGCATAGGGGCACTTGTACCCCAATGTTTATAGCAGCACTCTCAACAATAGCCAAATTATGGAAAGAGCCTAAATGTCCATCAACTGATGAATGGATAAGGAAATTGTGGTTTATATACACAATGGAGTACTACGTGGCAATGAGAAAGAATGAAATATGACCCTTTGGAGCCACGTGGATGGAACTGGAGAGTGTGATGCTGAGTGAAATAAGCCATACAGAGAAAGACAGATACCATATGGTTTCACTCTTATGTGGATCCTGAGAAACTTAACAGAAACCCATGGGGGAGGGGAAGGAAAAAAAAAAAAAGAGGTTAGAGTGGGAGAGAGCCAAAGCATAAGAGACTCTTAAAAACTGAGAACAAACTGAGGGTTGATGGGGGTGGGAGGGAGGGGAGGGTGGGTGATGGGTATTGAGGAGGGCATCTTTTGGGATGAGCACTGGGTGTTGTATGGAAACCAATCTGACAATAGATTTCATATATTAAAAAAAAATAGTCTTTTAAAAAAGGAGGCAACACGTGTGCGTGTGTGTGCGCGCACACACACGAACACACACACACACACACGACTAAAACAAAAACAAAAACTCTGCTACCAGAGGACATTTGCCAATGTCCGGAGACATTTTTGATTGCCACAACTGGGAGGGAGGGGTTAATACTGACGTCTAGCACAGCCCATGAGGTTACTCCACATTCTACTACATACGGGACCGCCTTCCCAACAATGAATTATCCAGCCCAAAACGTCAGTCATGAAGGGCTGAGAAAATCCTGCTGCACCCTCTTCAAAGTAACTGGTTGAGACATGAATGCAATATACATTCACTCACAATATCATCAATAGCTACGAACATGCAAACTGGATTAGAAACTTGTACGGAATTAACAGCTGTTCATATGCTCATTAACCAGATCCTATTTTCTTGCAAACAGCACCTTGAAGACAACGCAGAACAACACAATGCTGCTTTCCGGTACTTATCTCTCCATGTTCCTGACCCACATAGGTATCAGGTTTCATCAATTTATGTTGGAACTGAGTGCTTCAGAAAATATTAATAATAATATTATACATTCTCATAATTAAGCCACATGCGGCTCTCCTTGTCTTTATTTATAAATTTATTTATTCGTTTATCAATTCACTTCTACCAACACAATCCAGACCTATGAACCTTCATAACCTAAGAGCAAAATCCCGAATATTACTAACCTCTACTGTAAGCTGATTTACCATATAGGCATTAACTAGGTCTCTGACCTCAGAGTTACAGGGTTTAATCAAAATCATTGATTCAGACACCCCAGGATACTCATCATTGGTCCAAACTTGGCAACATTTCCTCCATTCATTAATACCTTTGTTTATTGATTCCCTCGTTAAGTCACTAATAATAACAAAGGCAAGGACGTGAATTTTGACTACAACCTGCTACAGTCTCTAGGCTCCTTACCCACAAAGGTAAAAACTAAAATTCTCATTACTGTCGAATAATTCAATCAGCTATAGCATTTTGTTCTGTAGATATTAAAATACACTTTTTGTAAAGAACGAACCAGCATAGACACCTTTTATTAATGGGCTGGAGTCATGAGGTACTCGATTAATCATAAACTTTAGCTGCTATCACGTTCTCATTATTGACTCAAAAAGGACACTATTTTTTATTTACTGACTTATTTACTGTCCATCTGTATACTCCCTAACCACATGATTCGCAGCCTCATTATTCTTTTTTAAGGTTCCGTATTCACACATGGCTAAGAGTATCCCATGAAGCATTGGTCTAAGATTTACCCTACTTTATACATTCACTGATCCACTCATGTTGTTCTCTTAATTACTCAAAGCATAATTTGATCATCTACTCTTTTTTTTTTTAAAGAAAAAGAGTAAAACCCACCAGTACTCCAGAACTGAAATACCATGTCATGCCATTCCTGATATCCACTTGTCCAAAGTGGGATTAAGTCTAGATTTCTTCCTCTTCATCTAAAATGGTTTAGTCATTATATTGTTTCATGACACCTACTCCTCTGCCTTCTTTTAAATAACTGACCAAACTGGGGCGCCTGGGTCGCTCAGTCGGTTGAGCGTCCGACTTCAGCTCAGGTCATGATCTCGCAGCTTGTGAGTTCGAGCCCCGCGTCGGGCTCTGTGCTGACAGCCCAGAGCCTGGAGCCTGTTTCAGATTCTGTGTCTCCCTCTTCTCTCTGTCCCAACCCACTCGCATTCTGTCTCTGTCTCTCTCAAAAATAAATAAACATTAAAAAAATTTTTTTCATAAAAAAATAAAAAATAAATAAATAACTGACCAATATATGAACTCATTTGTTCATCGACTTTTAACGATGCATTCAAAGTGAATGCAAGCGAAGATGCTGGATAAGAACATTGACTGATACTAGTATCTGTCCTTATGTCACTGTCCACAGATATAACCTGTTAGAGTCTTCTTTATTTTTTTAAATAATACTATATTCTCAGTATTAGTCCTTGCTTGGCTTTCTTTCCATTAGGCACTTATGTAAGCAATTGTTGGTAATGTCGAGGATTTGCTCCTTTTCTTTTTTTTTCTTTTTTTTTTTTAATTTTTTTTAATATTTATTTATTTTTGAGACAGAGACAGAGCATGAACAGGGGAGGGGCAGAGAAAGAGGGAGACACAAAATCTAAAGCAGCTCCAGGCTCCGAGCTGTGAGCACAGAGCCCGACGTAGGACTCGAACTCACGAACTGTGAGATCATGACCTGAGCTGAAGTCGGACGCTTAACCGACTGAGCCACCCAAGTGCCCCGGATTTGCTCCTTTTCTAAATAGAACCAACAACCAGCTAGCTACCACCAATCTGAAACAACAGGGACTCTCATGGAATAGGATATCTATCCTTTAAGGACAAATGTAAGATAGACTTGATCGATTTAGATTACGAAATTCAGTGTCTGGGGAAATAATATAACGATACATTTCACAGACATTAAGAACTCAAAGCTCAGGAACCGGATCTTAACTCGTCCTAACTTGTGCTGTGAGCCCCTCTCTCACGGAAGAAATAGCTAGATTTCTTTTTCTCAGTGGACCTCAAAGGTACAGAGTTTAATTAAAATCTTTGATTCATACATCTCAGAATCCTCATCATTAATCTACACCGAACATCTTGTTCTTCCTTTATTTACACATTCCTTGTTCCTTCATTCATGGACTCACTCATAACAATATAATCTATTCTCATGAATCAAAAAGCCCAAAAACGACATCCTTGAATATCACTAAGAACCGGCTCTACACCCATTTCCCACAGTGCTAATAAACAAGGATATTCTTTGCAATATATACGTATGCTGTTTGCATTATAAATTAACCAACATTCTCACTCCGTCTCAGCTTCAATGGTTCACGCCTGGCCCTTTTACATTTAAAGATGATGCAGTGAGTAACCATGGGAACTTTAATCTTTCTCCACATCTAGAGAGACAACAATTTTGTCCATCTTCTTGTGTGTTTCTCCCTCAAGGAATTCATAGCTTAAATCTTTATCAATGGAGAAGTACTTACATGCATTGCAACACAAAAATAAAACACAATGTGAAGCAATCCTAAAACTGAATGAAACGTCCAGCATCTTTTTAATTGGGTTTTACTAGTCCTGCATCTGATTCATCATCAATCTCAATTCGGGTCTGTGCTGGGCTCATTTGGCTTTATTTTTTAATATACTCGTTGATTACTTTGAAAAATCCAAGCAACACTCACAAACCACCCTCCCAACCCAAGAATATAAACTCTGCTACTTACATCAATTTCTTCTGTCCTTACCCCCACAGCTTGCTAAAGCCAAGATCTTTAGCATTAGAGAATGATTACTTCATCGGTGGTGTGTTTGCTTAGTGAAAATGCAGACTTTCAAGAGAAAGAAAGAGTCCATAGTTAGATTTTTTTTTTTAATGGAGGCTAGTCTTGAAGTATTAGATCAATCATAAACACGGGTCATTTCAGAAAGAATGTCATCATTGCCGATGAATTGCACTCTTATTCATTGACTTATTTAACTTTTCTTTTTAAGCAGTACAATGAACACCAACATGAGAATAAGAACCATTATCTGTCATAAATATCTGTCTACATACTCCCTATCCATAAATTTAACAACTCAGTGATTACTTTTAATGGACCTCACTTGTACAAAATTGGATAAATGTAAATCTTTGTTTTATGGCATATTCTCACCAATGAAGCACACATTTTTCTGATTTATGTCTACTGATTCATTTACTTATTCGTGTATATAATTAGGCATAAAATAAATCAATTATCTTCCCATTTTTCTAAAGAATTTCTTCATGCAAATTTCTATGTACACCTGAAACTAGCATTACACTGTATGTTAACTAACTGGAATTTAAAAAATATTTCTATGTGTGCTTTGTCCAAAATGGAAGGAATTTAGCGTTCTATTTCTTTATCTGGACAACTTTTGCGTATAACGGGAGTAATCATTATCTTTGGTTCATAACACACATTCCTCATTGGCCCTTGCTGAGCCTTCTTTTGAATAATTAATCTACAGGGAAATGCACTCCTTCATTCCCTTATGACAAGATGTCAGTACCAATGAAAACCAAGGCACAGAACAGGAATATTAAGTATCCAGTCTACATGCTCATGGCCGATAGACATAAATGATTACTAAATCATCTTTTCAATTTTTTTAATTAAACTAGTGAATACACTTATATTAATTGTAACCCTGGTCACATGACATATCCTCAGTATGGGTTCACATTTGGCCCTCTCTCAATAAGACAATATTTAAGCAATTGTTTATTTATGTAAACATTTTTTTTTTTTTGTCCTTCTTAATTAAAACCACCAAACAAAGAATCAAGGCAGCAACATGAACTCTTGGGTACATCTGTCCATACTGTCCTTATGGAAGGGCTCAGAGCTTTGATTTATCTATAGAACCTGATGTTTCAAATATACACTAATAATCATTTCTGCTTTATTACATAACTTCATAGCTCGTCCACATATGGCCCTCCTTATCTTCATTCATTTACACATTTCCTTATTCATTCATGAATTCACTTCCCTACAAGTTTATTTTATCCCCCTCTCTCTCTCTCTCTTTGATTTTATTTTTATATTTTTGCAATAGTCCACAGATTTCTAGACGGGGATTAACACAATTCCGTTTACTTGTTTTTTCTATTTTTTTTTAATGTCTTAAGTTTTTATTTAAATTCCAGTATAGTTAACATACAGTGTAATATTAGTTTCAGGTGTACAATATAGTGAATTCAACACTGACATACAATACCCAGCGCTCATCACAATAAGTGCCCTCCTTAATCCTCATCACCTATTTCCCCTACCCGTCCCTGCCTCCCCTCTGGTAATCATCAGTTTGCTCTCTATAGTTAATTATTGTTTTGCCACTCTCACTCTTTTTTCCCCCCTATGCTCATTTTTGTTTCTTAAGTTCCACACATGAGTGAAACCCTATGGCATTTGTTTTTCTCTGACCCATTTCGCTTAGCATAGTACACTCTAGCTCCCCCCATGTCCTTGCAAACGGCAAGATTTCATTCATTTTGATGGCTGAGTAATATTCCATTGCATATCTATATCACATCTTCTTTATCTATTCATCCGTCAATGGACACTTGGGCTGCTTCCATAATTTGTCTATCATAGATAGAGCTGCTATAAACATCAGAGTGCCTGTCCTCCTTCAAATCTGTATTTTCGTATCTTTTGGGTAAGTACCTAGTAGTGCAATGGCTGGGTCGTAGGGTAGTTCTATTTTTAACTTTTCGAGGACCCTCCGTGCTGTTCCCCAGAGCGGCTGCACCAGTGTGCATTCCCACCAGCAGTGCAGGAGGGTCTCCCTCTCCCCACATCCCACACAATTCTGGACTCAGACTCAACCCAGGACTCACCATTGTCCTAAGCTTTGCACTCTTTTCCTTCAGTCCTTTATCCTTTAGGTTTATTGATATGCTCACTGTTCCAACAATACAATCAATGCACAGAAATCACTAAAGCTCAAAAATAAGATCCTTAAATATCACTAAGATCTACTGATAAGCTCATTTCCCGTGGAGCTAATACATTACGTCTCTTTTTGCAGTGGCCTTCAGCGTAGGCCATGGGCTCCCTCTCACTGACTCTTGTGAAGGGATGAATGTTAAAATCTGCAGTCGTGTAAGTATCCCTGAAAACGTATGAAACATCTGCCACCTTTTTAAAGGAGTCATCAGTTGCGCAGAATTGAATTACTCCTCATTATCTCTGGTTCATAATCTATTCCTGTCATTGGTAATGTACAGCGTTCTTTAATTTTGCACTCCTACATAGCTTTTTATTACTTGAAATACTTCAGTGCACAGCCATGAACAAGTTCCCCTAACCAAGTACATAGACTTTGACTGTTACTCACCTCAGAATTTAATGCTCCTTCCCCACAGAGCCACAGTCTTCACCATTAGATAGGATTAAATCAACCGTGGTGTCTTCATTCTGAGGTAAAAATCAGGCTTTGGAAATAATGAAAAAAAACACACATTTAGGTATGTGTGAAAGATACTAATCGTAGAGTTCTCGATTACACATAAAACTTGCTTCTTTTCGTTGGCTCAAGAATATCACTACTGTTTACTTACTCCATTCATTTTGAGTTTTTTCAGATTTTATTTTTAAGTCATCTCTCTACCCACCGAGGGCTCGAACTCACAATCCTGAGATCAAGAGACGCATGTTCTGCCGAATGCGCCAGCCAGGCACCCCTAATTTTAATTTTCAACAATAAAATGAACACCACTGAATCCATCGCTCCACTCACAACTGATAACTATGACTCTTATAAACATATCCGGGTACTTTACATAGCTAAAATCTACATTACCCTTCTCCATGGATCTTTCTTAAACCGATCGGATAAATTTAAATCCTTATTTCACGGCATATTTTTAACAATGGTCCATGGTTGGCTCTACTTACTCATCCATTCATTCATTCACTCATTCAATTACTCATGGAATAATTTCACCTGTTGTTCATTATATAAAGGCACAGACAGTACCTTCACTTATGGTGAGCACGGTATAACATCTACAGAGGTGAAATCACTATGTTGTGCACCTGAAACTAATGTAACATTGTGTGTTAACTGCACTTTGACTTAAAAAAAAAAAAGAAAAAGAAAAAGAAAAGTGAATTAAAATGGGAAGCATCTGTCTGTACATTATACAAACTGGGAAAAGCCTGGCTTTTTAAAAATATAGATGCAGTAGTATAAAACAGGATAATCAGAGTCCTTCCTCACTGGTGTATGATTTTCACCTTTTAAATAAAATATGAATCCATTCATTCGGTTATAATAACATATAATATGTCATTGTCATAAGTCACTGGACAATGCTTTAAATAATACTAACAGGAGACCATATGCTCAGAGCAAACCATCTTGTCATGGGACCCATTCTCATGACTGGTCCATAATCTTTTTTTTTTTTCAATTAGATCTTCAATTATTTACCGATGCCAACCTGTTTCCCTTAATAAAATAAATCAGCAACCTGCCATCAATTCATAATGACAACATTCAATCTTGGGCATACTTTCCTATCTGCTCCCTGCTGAACAGAGTAAAGTCTACTTACTTTCCTAGACCTCATTACTTCAGAAATGTTTCAAAACATAGTCTCATCATTAAACAATGTGTGGCTTTCCTCATCCTCATTCACTCCTTCATTTCTTTCCTAACCAGGCATCATTTCATGTGTAATTAAAAATATCCCGCATCCTAGGAACACAAAACCTAACAACAGGATCCCTACTATTCCCTTCTTGCTTTGTAAACACTTTAACCATAGAGGGAATGGCTACATTTCTTCTCGTAATGACATTAGAGTTACAGAGCTTAATCAAAACTTAATCCAGACACCCCAGGGTACTCATCATTGATCCAAACTTGGCATTTTTTTTGCCTTCTTCATTCAGATCTTCCTTTCTGGATCATTTTTACATGCATAAATTATAACACGGTCAACAGCCATGAATCACAAATGCCAAGAATAAGATGAATGGTTTTTACCAAGGTAAGTCTATTTGCACTTGTCCCCCAAAGCTAATACGCTTGATGTCTTTTTATTAGTGCACCTCTGGGTTGCACATAGGGATTGACAGCTGCTTCACATCATCATATTGATAAGAAGTTTCTGCTCGTCTCTTGACGTATCCTCATTGTAAAGAGGGTGAAATAAACAACTATGAACCATCGTCTTCCCTCACAACTAGAACGATGTAATTTTCTTCATTATCCTACCTCCCCCTCCCTCAACAAGTAAATAACCTCGAGCTTTAGCAAGGAAGGGATATACTTCTAAATGTACTTTGGTGCCAAACTAGAATGATATATATTATCACGTGGCCCTGAAAATGGCTAATCATGAACGGTTCATAACATATTCATGTCCTTGGCCAATGCTTGGTGTTCTTTAATTTTATATATATATAAATGTTTTATATTTTACATATTATATATATAAATAATACACATTTACATATTTTATAACCAATTTTATGTTTCTATTTCATTACATATGTATTGATATATACTTATTACATATAAGTATATTTTATATATTTAATATATTTATTATTATGCTATTATTAATATGCTATTTTAAATTTTGTAAAATAAGTCCTTGGAAAATTCATGAACAAACTCGCCAGAGACCAGGGACTGTAACATTTATGTTGGTCTCTAGGCTCTTTACCCACAGAGGCAACAACTAAGATCTTCCTCATTAGAGAATTATTCATTTGGCTGTGGTGCGTTCATGCTGTAAATTAAAAGCCAATTCTAAACAGTCTCCATGAGATGTTTTTAAGTGGACATGAGTTTCACACTGCCAAATTAATAACAAAGCTGGATCATATCACATTCTCATTACTGGTGCAAAGACTCAACTCCCTTCTATTTTATCAGCTTATTTTATTTTCATTCTTTAGCAATGTAGTAAATATCATTGAATCTAAGACTCAACTCAAGAATAAAGCCTGGGTGACTCAGTCAGTTAAGCGCCCAACTCTTGATTTTGGCTCAGGCCATGATCTCACAGTCGTGGGATCGAGCCCCACATCACGGCTAGACATGGAGCCTGCTTGGGATTCTCTCTCTCTCTCTCTCTCTCTCTCTCTCTCTCCCCCTCCCTCCCCCCCTCTGCCACTCTCCCCAATAAAATAAATAAATATTAAAAAAAGAAAGTTGAGGGGCGCCTCGATAGCTCTGTTGGTTAGGCATCCAACTTCAGCTCAGGTCATGATCTCCCTGTTGGTGGGTTCAAGCCCCGCGTCAGGCTCTGTGCTGACAGCTCAGAGCCTGGAGCCTGCTTCCAATTCTGTATCTCCCTCTCTCTCTGCCCCTCCCCCACTTGCACTCTGTCTCTTGAAAATAAATAAATGTTAGGAAAGGAAAGGAAAGGAAAGGAAAGGAAAGGAAAGGAAAGGAAAGGAAAGAAAAGGAAACTGAGGCACCTGGGTGGCTCAGTCAGTTAAGCCTCTGACTCTTGGTCTCAGCTCAGGTCACGATCTCACAGTTCATGAGTTCCAGCCCTTCTTCGGGGCTCTGCACGGACAGCACTGAGCCTGCTTGGGATTCTCTCTCTCCGTCTCTGTCTGCCCCTCCCCAACTGTGTTCACACGCTCACGCTCACGCTCCCTCTTGCTTGCTCAGTCTCTCTCTCTCTCTCTCTCTCTCTCTCAAAATAAATAAACTTAAAAAATAAAACAAAAAATTAAAAAATTAAAATAAGAAGAGAAAATCTTTCTTATAAAAAAAAAGAAAGAAAAAGAATAAGGCTTATAACTTTTACATGGCAGAGAGAGAGAGACGGAGAGATTGAGAATCCCAAGCAGGGTCCACGTTGTGAGCACAGAGCCCGACACGGGGCTCGAACTCACAAACCATGAGATCATGACCTGAGCCGAAGCCAAGAGGTGGACGCTTAACCAACTGAGCCACCCAGGTGACCCTTCCTTCTTCTTAATGAAACCAACCACCAGCAAACTCCCAGCAATCCAGACTTACATGCCCATGTACATATAGTTGTGTGCACTCTTACGCTTCTGGACCTCCCGTGTGTTCTGAAGAGGGCAACAGGTCTTACCTATGTATTCTATTGAAACATGGTGTTAAACAAACATATCACCAGTGATACTTGTTCCATGACACTCACATGTGATCATGTTTGTCTTCATTCAATGACACATTTATTTATTCGTGCATTCACTGATTCACTTACACTGATACAATCCATACCCAAAAATCACTAAGACCCAAGAACCATATCCCCAAAAGGCTTGAACTTCTGCCCCAGACTCTATTCCCTTAGAGAGAATGACTAGGTCTCTTTTCTTTCCCTTTCTTTCTCCCTTTCTTTCTTTCTTTCTCTCTCTCTCTCTCTTTCTTTCTTTCTTTCTTTTTCTTTCTTTCTTTCTTTTTTTTGTAAATTCTAGTTCCTCTACAGTTAATACACAGTGTTCTATGGACCTCAGAGTTTAGGGTTTAATCAAAATTCTTGATTCATATACCCCAGAACTACTCATCATTGATCCAAGCTTAACATTCTTTTTCTTCAGTTATTTATGTATATACTGTGTATTGACTGTTTATGCATTACTTACTGATTATTTCCTTCATGGCCTCACTGGTTCAAAAAAAAAAAAAAAAATTACTTCCTATGAATCACGGAAACCCAGGGACAAGATCTTTGAATATTGCAGAGAGCTGTGTACGAGCTTATTTCCCACAGAGCTACTAAACAAGATCTCTTTTTAATTGGACCTCAGTGCTGCACATATGGATTAATCAATGAACCTGCCATCCATCCCACGCACTTCACTGCTCTCTGCTTGCTCATCTTTCGCTTACGCTCTTTGTATTTTGAAACTAGTGCCCTGAACCTACCATTTGACTCCAGAACTAGAATGCGGACAATACTCTCTAGCTTCCCAGGTGCTCCTTCCTCAAAGACGTAACAACCTAGATAGGTATCAATAGAGAATGTTCTTAAAACGGGGTGCAAAAATAAAACAGAATATTAAAGCAGCTGTGAAAGTCAACGCAAAACCCTCAAACTTTGTTTTCAGTGGATCTCAATTATACTGAAGTGGGCTAATCTTTTTTTTTCTTTAACATGAAATTTACTGTCATATTGTTTTCCGTACATCACCCAGTGCTCTTCCCAACAGGTGCCCTCCTCCATACCCATCACCCGCCCTCCCCTCCCTCCCACCCCCATCAACCCTCAGTTTATTCTCAGTTTTTGAGAGTCTCTTATGTTTTGGCTCCCTCCCTCTCTAACCTTTTTTTTTCCTTCCCCTCCCCCATGGTCTTAAGATTCTCAGGATCCACATAAGAGTGAAAACATATGGTATCTGTCTTTCTCTGTATGACTTATTTCACTTAGCATAACACTCTCCAGTTCCATCTGAAGTGGGCTTATCTTTTTTTTTTTTTACATTTCTTTCATTAGTTTTCTTTATTTTGAGAGGCAGAGAGAGAGAGAGAGCACGTGTGGGGGAGGGGCAGAGAGACAGGAGACACAGAATCGGAAGCAGGCTCCAGGCTCTGAGCCGTCAGCACAGAGCCCGATGCAGGGCCCAAACTCACAAACCGTGAGATCATGACCTGAGCCGAAGTCGGACGCTCAACCGACTGAGCCACCCAGTTGCCCCTGAAGTGGGCTACTCTTAATTCATGGTTCATACACATTCCCAGTCGTGTTCCACGTGTGGTGTGCTTTGATTGCATTTATGTGTCCACAGGCCATTGCTCCTTTGAAACAATCCCATGGACCATAGGAATTCCCTCCAAACCAAGAACACAAACTCTGTCACTTACATGAGTCACTTTGCTCCTTATCCATAAAAGTGACAGCCAAGATCTTCTTCACGGGATAATGGATAAATCAGACTGGGTATGCTGACTCTGCAGAGTAACAAGCAGATTTTAGGAAATGGAAGAAGCAATATGGATTTAGATTTTTTTCAAGACACCTTAGTCCTACTGTAGTAGATTTCTCATAAATCCTTTTTTTACCATATTCTGATTATTAGCTCACAAATGGCCTTCTTACTTCCTGACTTCTTTAAGTTTTTAATGTTTATTTTTTGAGAGAGAGAGACATACACATAAGTGTGAACAGGGGAGGAGCACAGAGAGAGAGAGAGAGAGAGGGAGGGAGAGAGAGAGAGACAGAATCCAAAGCAGCTCCAGGCTCTGAGCTGTCAACACAGAGCCCAACATGGGGCTCAAACCCACGAACTGTGAGATCATGACCTGAGCCTAAGTCAGATGCTTAACCGACTGAGCCCCCCAGGCACCCCTTACTGACCTCTTTAATTATAATGCATGTAATACAATGACAACTGCTAAACCGACAACCTAGTGGAAGAATTCAGAACGACACCTGTTCCACATTCAGAACTATACCTGTTCCATATTCTGTCTGTTAAACCCCAACCACATAGGTCCTAGTCTAAACTGTCTTTTTTTATGGTTCTTCCTTGATAAGAATTTTATAAATTTATATCTTCATTTCTTGACATATTTTCATCATTAATCCGTGCCTGGCCTTACTTTATAAATTTACTCTGTTTTTTTATTTATTTACTCATGTAAAAATTTGTTCTCTTTTTTTTTTCAAAAAAATGCAAAACGGTCTAAATATGAAAAGTAATCATCTCTACACCCTTTACCCAAAGTGAGCAGAGCCTCAAAGGAACCCCTTTTACTTATATGGATACTGAAGGGTAGAACAAAGGTAATAATTATCTTCTTGTAATAACGTATTATCCTCACTGATACATGTTTGCCCTCTTTTAAATTATCTCGTCCTTGGCTCACTTATAATAGTATCCTCGATACTCTGTGAAACTACATCCCTGGACATACCTAAATAATACTAACATCTTCCCATAAACTCTATACCCGCAGAAAAACAATTAAATGGGTCGTTTTCAAAAATGATACTGATTGAGAATAACTCATCTAACCCTATCTCTCATTGGCCCATGCTCGATCTTCTTTAAGTACATCTGTAATCAATCATTTATTACGTTTCCCTTTCCAACCCCCCTTTTCTTAATAAAATTTGTAATAAAATTAACAACCACCAACCCAGAAGCAATACTGATACCTGCCTATATATTCCTGACGAAACGTGGTAAAAAAAAGTCTTAGAGGGGTGCCTGGGTGGCGCAGTCGGTTAAGCGTCCGACTTCAGCCAGGTCACGATCTCGCGGTCCGTGAGTTCGAGCCCCGCGTCGGGCTCCGGGCTGATGGCTCGGAGCCTGGAGCCTGTTTCCGATTCTGTGTCTCCCTCTCTCTCTGCCCCTCCCCCGTTCATGCTCTGTCTCTCTCTGTCCCAAAAATAAATAAATGTTGGAAAAAAAATTAAAAAAAAAAAATTAAAAAAAAAAAGTCTTAGACTCTTAACCTACTGGAACTCAGCTCCTCAGATATGTTTTAATAATAATTTATTTCTCATTAGATACTCTCATAATTGGTAAAGACCTAGCCCTCGTTATCTTTGTTCATAGATACATTTCTTTACGTACTGAAACAATGAGTCACTAATAAAAAGACCCTTACCCAAGGTGTACAAAGCCACAAGCAAGACACCTATAGTCCTGATTTCTGCCCCAGTTCATGTCCCACCAAGGAAAGAAATTAGGTTTGTTTTTATGATAGACCTCAGAGTTATAGGGTTTAATCAAAATCCTTGGTTCAGACACCCCAGGGTACTCATCATTGGTCTAGGCTTGGGACTTTTTCATTTACTCATTTATACATTTGTTTATTTATCCATCCATTCATTCATTCATTGACTAAAAATCACTTGTTCATATTCATAAATCACAACAAAGCAAGAATAAGATGTAAGAATATTACTAATGTCTGTCTTTTGTCTAATTTCCCCCAGAGCTAATCCCCCAGATCTCTTTCTACAGTGGACTTACTGTCGCACATATAGATCATTCTTTCTGCATACCCACATTCATCATAACCCTGCGTGGCCCTCTTTTTCTTTAATTTGTTCAAATCTTAAAATACATAACAAAGAAAACCCAGGAACATCTCATTTTACTTTACCAGTAATTTTCCATCTTTCCTTGTGTATCTCTGTCAACATGTTAGAAACCCAAATCTCTGGAGCACCTGGGTGGATCACTCGGCTGAGCGTCCAACTCTTGAGTTCAGCTCAGGTCATGATCTCACAGTCAGTCGTGAGATAGAGCCCAGCATCGGCCTCTACACTGACAGTGCAGAGCCTGCTTGGGGTTCTCTCTCTCCTCTCTCTCTCTCTCTCTCTCTCTCTCTCTCTCTCTGCCCCTCCCCCGCTCACACACACACGCCTGTGTGCTCTCTCTCTCTCAAAATAAATAAACTTTAAAAAAAAAAGAAAAGAAACTCAAATCTTGATCAATGGTGGAATGTGTAAATCAGGAATGGCAGAATATAAAATGAAATATTACAGAAATGTAAAGTGAATTAAATGCCTCCTTTCACCTTTTTTTAAAAAGGACCTTGCTTAATACCCATCAACGGTAACAAACGAAAATTTAAGTTAAAAAATAATAAACAAGGGGCGCCTGGGTGGCGCAGTCGGTTAAGCATCCGACTTCAGCCAGGTCACGATCTCGCGGTCCGTGAGTTCGAGCCCCGCGTCGGGCTCTGGGCTGACGGCTCAGAGCCTGGAGCCTGTTTCCGATTCTGTGTCTCCCTCTCTCTGCCCCTCCCCTGTTCATGCTCTGTCTCTCTCTGTCCCAAAAATAAATAAACGTTGAAAAAAAAAATTTAAAAAAATAATAAACAAACAAAAAAAGGACCTTGGTGTTCAAAGTTAGATTAATATGAAATTGTGTTTCATGGCACATTTCACAAGGGCTCATTCTTAAGCCTCTTTACGTATTTGTCTATTTGCTTATTTATTATTTAATTTGAGTAGTTATGGATTAACTCATGATTTATCTATCTTTGAGAAGATAATTAACAAGAGTAAATCTACCTGCAGCCCAAAGTGAAATAATATGACATGAATCTATCTGTCAACCTGAAATAAATAGGTTGGAGCCTAGACTTTTTGTTTTTTATATGGACACTGGTAACAAAGACTGTATTTATCCTAACCCTCGCTTTATGAGTTATGTCCATCACCGGTCTATGATTTGTCCCCTTTTAATTAACCGAACGTGTCACAAACATACTCATTCATTCCCTTACAATCCCTAGCTTGGAATCTAAAGAAACTGGTCAAAAACTCTCAATAAAACTAGTATCTGTCCACTTGTTCATTACCTACAGAGGCAACCAACCAGACCTTTGTTGTCATTTAAGGCACTCAGTAAATAAATTGGATTAATCATAATTCTTATCATGTGACATAATTTCAACATTGGTCTTCTGCAGTTGTCTTATGTATTTCTCTTCTTTATTTCTTCTTCATTTCTCACATCCCTTTTTAACAAACAGACATCAGTGCTTTCTTTTCTTAATGGACTTCAGTATTTCAAAAACATATTAATAATAATTCTTGGTCCGTGTTACACACTCATCATCGGTCCATACTTGGCCTCTCTTTTCATTCATTTATACATTTATTTAAATGATTTACTCATTGACCCACTTACACAATAATAACATAATCAATACCCACAAGCCTCAAAAGTCTAAGATTAAGACCCTGCAATCTCTCTAACCTCTGATGACAGGCTCATTTCCCACAAAACTGAGACCAGGCATTTATCGCAGTGGATTCCATTGGTGCCCATCTGCATTAACCAACACCTTTGCTCACAATGCTGTGCTCACTCAGCACTTACCATGTTTCAGTCTCTTCTATCTAGTTAGTTACTCAGCTACTTGTTCCTTGCAGGTCATTTTCCTTAAAAACAAAAACGAAACACAGCAGGACACCAACAACCCAATACAACAGCACTGATTAGTACACACATCTATTCATATGTTCATTAACCACGGGGATTAACCGACGCACATTGTTTTTACGGTTCCGGTGCATCATAAAAAATGTTAAAATAATGCTCACTTCAATACATTAATAGTAAGTGTGTGCTTTTCCCTGTTTTTCCCATTTGTCTATTTACTTTCCACTGATCCATCAATTGACCAATGATAAATCAATATCCGTGGGTCAGAAAAACATAAAGGAAAAGATCCTTGACTATTGCTATCATTGTTGCATAGTAGTGCCGGCCAATAAAACAGAAGGCAAGCCACCCATAAACTTTTCAGTTTTCTAGAATCTATATTTTAGGGGTGCCTGGGTGGCTCAGTCGGTTAAGCGACCAACTCCTTATCTTGGCTCAGGTCACAATCTCACAGTTCATGAGTTGGAGCACCGCATCAGGCTGTGCACTAAAGGCACAGAGCGTACTTGGGATTCTGTCTCTCCCTCTCTCTGCCCTTCCCCATCTCTCTCTGTCTCTCTCTCTGTCTGTCTCTCTCTCTCTCTCTCTCTCTCAAATACAAAAATTAAAATAAACTAGTAGAATCTACATCTTTTACATTTTTAAAAGTAAAAAGAAACAGATGAAATCAGTTATAATTGTATGTTTAACCCAAATTTATTTAAACTTAAAATGCTATCATTTCAACATGTAATCTATATGGGTGCCTGGGTGGCTCAGTTGGTTGGGTATCTGACTTCCAACTCAGGTCATGATCTCACAGTTTGTGAGTTTGAGCCCCGCATCAGGCTCTGTGCTGACGGCTCAGAGCCTGGAGCCTGCTTCGGATTCTGTGTCTCCCTCTCTCTCTCTGCCCCTCCTCTGTTCATGTTCTCTCTCTCAAAAACAAGAAAATATTTAAAAATTTAAAACTAAAACGTGTAATCTATATAAACACATTTTAATGACATGTTTTACATTTTTTGGAGTGCATCTTCTAAATTTGGTATGTATTTTCAAAATAGATCAATATCTCAATTCAGACTATCCACATTCTAGGTGCTTGGTAGCCACCTGTGGCTAGTGGCCACTCTATTGGATGGCACATGTCCATAGGCTAATTTCCCACAGAAATAATATGCTATATATCTCTCTATAAAGGTCAACAGCAGATGAGTCTATCAACATGCTTTCTACATACCAATCCCACATTCATTACTGGCCTGTTCATACCTCTTTAATTCATTTGTATTTCAAAGATAACACAATGAACTATTATGAATCCACCATCGTTCAGAATAGAAAACTGATAATATTCGTCCATCTCTCCACGGGCCATCCTCTCAACCAGTTAACGGCATGGAGTTTTTATATCAATAGGGGAATGTTTAAATCAACAGTAGTACAATATTTAATACTGAAACATTAAAATACCAATAACACAAGCAAAGGCTTTAGCATATTTTTAATGGAATTAAGTCGTATCGAATTGGATTCCCCATGATCTTTGGTTCATAGCACACTTATCATTGGTTCATGCATGGCCTCCTGTATTACCAACATATGAAACTATCTGTTTCTTTTAAGTAATACAGTCAACATCCATGAGCAAACCATTCCAACCAAGAGCAAGAGCTGTCACTTACATCAGCCTCCAGGCTCCTTACCCACAGAGGCAAGCTGGTTATCATTACAGATGACTAATCAGCTCTAGTGCATTCTTTCTGTAGAACAGAAACCAAGTATTAAAAAAAATGAAAGGTATTAGATTTAAAACTTTGTAAATCAATGTTAATTGTGAAATCCCAGATTAGCTATAATCCATGGTTTGTACCACATTCTCAATATTGGTCCATGCTTGGCCCTCCTTCTCATCATTGACCCAAAAACAGCACTCGATTTTTAATTGACTTGACCAATTAATGGTTCTCAATTGTTATTCTGGTGAATACCATAGAATTGATCACCTAAAATAAGAATGATGACCATGACCAAAAATAAATAAATAAACAAAAAACCCCACTAATTCCAAATTTGATGGACAAAAAAAGGACAAAAAAAAAAAAAAAAGATGGCTATTACCAACATCTGCCTTTATTCTTTTTTTCCTATACAGTGACAGCCACAGGTAGGGAGACCTCACATCATTTCCCCGGTAGGGTTCCACACTTCTCTGTCTCCTATTCTCCTCCTTTCCAACAGGGATGGAGGTGTTTCCAACACAACCTGTTTACCCCATGAGGACAGAGATCCCATCTCTAGAAGTTTCTGCATGAGGAGAGTCACATCCAAACCAGAAGTGAATCATGATGGTCTGGACTTTGAACTGAAGCACCGACTGCACAGAATCTGAATAATCTTAATTCTGGGATAACGAGGGATTATTGTCATAGGCCCATGTTTGCCATCTCGGGTTTTATTCCTTCATCTGTTCATTTCATTCATTCACTTACTTATTTATGAACACCCTCAAAAACTTTCCAGCCAAAGATTTAAGAACATCAACTGTTACTTACATTTCTTAATGTACCTTAGCCATCCAAATAAGATTCAAAATTCTCAGAAATATTGCATGGTTAAATGAACTATGGCATGCCCATTTCGTGCAAGAGAAAGCAACCGTTTAAAAAAGGAACACCCTGGATCATTTTCAACGGCTTTCACCTGTATAGAATTAAAATAATCAGCCTTAGTTTATGAAACATTATCCTCATTCATCTACACTTGGCCTTTTTTAATTTAAGCCTTTAAAAAAAAAAATCACAAAACAATACTTATGAATCTTACCCAACGAATAGAAAACTACAAATATCTATGCCTCTATGAGCGTTGCTTTCACCAAGTAAACACCCCAAATTTATCCAGGCGGAAGTGTCTATATAAACCATAATGTATGAATTAATAGTAAAATGCTATTAAGTTAGGTAAAATAGCATAGATTTTTTTGTTTTAATGTCCTTCAAATCTGTATGATTATGTAATCATAAATCACAAATCTTGTCTTCGTTAGTCCACTCTTAATCCTTGCCTATTTTATTTAGGCATGCATTCATTTATTTTTAATAAATCAATAAACACACATGAACTCACCCCTCAACCCAAGATTAATAAGAAAAGGCAACAATTATATTTATATAAAGAGATATACATGTTCTGTACACATATACACATGTCTACAATTAATGTACATGAATGTAACTGTTTCTTTTTACAGGTAGCAATGATTTACGCCAAATGAGATCCATCACGTTGGTTCATGACAGTCTCCCCGTTGGTCTATGCTTGGCCATCTTGGATTTCATTTGTGCCTATTCACGTTTAATAATACAGACACATCCATCAGCCAACCACCCAGCTTAAGAACACGAACCATCACTCATGTTGGTTGATCCATGGTTCACTTGCCAGAAAAGGTCACAGCCAAGATCTCGATCAACAGAGCGTCAATAGACCCACTCTGGGGCCTCTGTTCTGTGGAACACAAGACAGTTATTAAAAAGGATGAAACAACCCAGGTATTTTTTAATGGTCATCAGGTGAGCAGCACGGGACTAAATCACAGTTTGGTTCATGACACAGGATCACCATTGGCCTAAGCGTAGGTCTCATTGTACACATCTTCTTACTTAACAATTTTATAAGACACATGCAAGACCTAATCAAAAAAAAAAAGAAGGACGCCCATTACGAGTATCTGTCTCTATGCTCTTACCCACAAAGGAACCAGCCCAGATCTTCTTCCTAATGGACTCAGATATGCAGAGTTGAAGTAATAACAATCTTTGATTCCAGGTATAATCGCGTCATTGTTTCCTACTTATCCCTTTTACTGTTTTTAGTTATTTTTTAAAATACAATAAACACATCAGGTCAGCACTAGTGCAGAACCAAAACAGCGATCCATACTTATGTTAGTACTTATATACCAATGCTTCTTATCCACAGAGGTAAGAGCTTTGTTTTCGTTTTATGGTTTTAAGTGGTCCACAATTATACCTAAGTGGATTCATCTGAATCCATAATTCATAAAACATCATCTTTGGTGGTTCATTATCAGCCCTCTTTCATTCTGTCATTTCTTTTATTTACTCATCTAATTCATATTTAACGATACAACGAACACACTTGAATCCACCATTTAGCTCAAGACCAATGACTGGTCTATAGGACTATTGATACACTTCCTACCGCCATCCCAACACCTTTGTATTTACTGGGCTTTGTCTCTGTTTTGTTTTGTTTTGTTTTTTAATAACTACCATTGGATAGAACAGATTACTACTCATAACCCTTGTTTAAAAACGCATCCTCGTCATTGGCCCATGCTTGGACCTCTTTAATTTTATTTATGCATTCATTCATTTTTAACTATTCAGTAAAACCCATTAAGCCCCACCTACAACCATCCACAGTTTCCCTCCCCACAAAGATCTTTCCTCTCTGGTGAAAAATCCCAGTGCGCCCATTCTATGGAACACAAAACCCCATTCAAAGGAAGAAACTAGCCTAGACGTTTCTTGTTTGTTAACGTCAAGTTAGCAGACCTAGATTCATCATAATCTTTTGTCCAGAATACATTCTCACAATTGCCGTATTCAAGGTCTTCATTATGTTATTTATTCTTTTATTATTTTAATAATAAAATTAATAACCACAAACCACTCCAATCTCTTTTTATGTCCCTCGGTTGTGGAGAATTAATCACGATCCTTGGTTCAGGGTTGCTTCTGGCCATTGCCCCAGGGCGGTTCGTCCCCCTCTCATTTCACTGATTCTTGAAACCCATAAACAACCACATGACCCCCACCTCCAATGCCCCCACTCTTAGCCCCTTGCTGCCCTCTGCCTTCAATGGTCACTCCCAAGCCTCCTGAGTGCCCTCCCCTCCCCCTTTCATGTATATAAAATTTTATCACATATATGTATTCTTTACAAATATTTTCCATGGGGCAGCGGCTGGCAGGGCCTCTGCAGGCCTCCGTCAAGGGGGACAATTAATACATACGACTGCCTGAAGAGCACACCAGCCAGGGGATGGTAAAAGGACTCAAACCCAGATCCTGGAACGCTGTCTGCCATCTCTGCTTTGCATGACTACGTGCTCACCGTCATAAGGCACCATCACCAATGGTGAGAGCATACGTGCCCACATCACGCTACCCGCCTCCAAATCCAGCCTCAACCCCGGACGAGCTGGGCAACATCAGACGAGTTAACTGACCTTCCTATGCCTGTTTCCCCATCTGTGAGATAGTCCCAGCCCTGGTCCCTGAGCAGAAGTAGCTATTATTTTTCACACCAAAGGCAACCAAGTAAACTCCCCCACCCCCACCCTGTCTCTGAGCCCCTCACCCAAATCTTTGTTCCCTCTGTAGCAGCGCCCGAGCTGTGGTGCTAGACAGACAGACAGACCAGGTTCCACCCCAGCAGGCACTCATGAGCTGTGTAACTGCAGAGACGTGACCTGGCCTCTCTGTCTTGTGCCCCGACTTGGGCGATTTGTAGACTGAGGACAGCGGCACCCTCGTGGGTCCAGCGTGAGGGTGCAGAGAGCTACCGACAGTTCCTCAAGCAGCTCCCACCCTGCACACCCCCCTCCCCGACCCACCGACCCACCCCACTGGCCAAGCAGCCCCCCCGCCCAAATCTGATTAGAGAAACGAATTATCTCAACACTCAGGCCAAGCCGAGGGTTTCGGGAAGGATGGGCCTCGGGCAGGAAATTGTTGGGATCTGTTCTTTTTTGGACACGGCATCAAAGCTTAAACAAGTGCCCCGGAAAATAGAAATCCACCTAAGGGATGCGCTTTCGAAAACTAAAATTCATTGCATGAAATGGGGCTGCCCTCGGTGGGGGTCTCTGCCAGGAGATCCTTGACGTTCAAATTGTTTCCCAGAAACTCCAAAGGCTTCTGCTCTGACCCTTACTGACAATATAGCCATTTTCCTGCCTACCCTCCCAGACAGGCCTGGTAGGTGCCGAGCACGCTGACCACGGTGCCACTCTTGAGACACAAAAAGTTAAAAATCAATTAAGTTTAAAACCGTACATATGTTACGGATACGTGTGTATCAGGTAATACACACATACATGTATCCACTTGGGGACTCTTCTGAGAGAGTCATGCATGGGAAGAGCGCTAGGCTGGGAACCTAGGCTCCTGCCTTTGCCTTCATCACACTGCGCGGCCTCGGCCAAGGCCTTTCCCCTCTCTGAGTCTCAGGTGGCAACGACCCACCAGTCTGCCCTCCCTCCCAGGTGGTATGGAAGCGAAAGGCATAAAGTTTAAGTGCAAGTTCCCTCCAAGGAGCAGAGGATCGTTAATGTTGTACCTCCTGTACCCAGCACGTAGTGTTCACAGCATGCCTTAGCATACATTATCTTGTTTGATCCTCACAGCAGTCCTGTGAATTACACATAATAATCATAATTAGCCAATATTGATTGAATGCCTACTCTGCACCAGGCACCATGCTGCCTGCTTTGCATGCATCGCCAGTCTTCTGGGGTGGGTACAGTTCAACACCATCTCTTTTTTTCTCCCCCACCCCCTCCAAAAGTCCTGTGCACACGTTTCGTGCCAGGCACTGGTTCTAGGTCCTGGGATACCGCAATGAACCAAACAGACAAAATCTGAGAGCTACTATCCCCTGGGTAGAGACAGAACAGACAACATTAAAAATAAATAAGTACGATATGTGGTATACGAGCCAGTGGTAAGAACGATGAAGAAAAATAAAGCAGGAAAGGGACAGCAAGCAACAAGGACACAAACCCCACCGAGAAGGTGACATCTGCGCAAACATTATTAGTTCCATCTTACACACGAGGGAACTGAGCCTCAGAATGGTTAAGTGGCTTACAAGTGGTCACACGGCAAGGAAGATGCTGAGCCCCAGAGTCTTATCTTCCCTACTTCTCCCCACTGCCTCATTTTTGTAGTTCTTGCCCTCTGATACCCCACTGTCAGCATACAAGGTGAGTGTGTGAATACGTGTGTGGGTGAGTAGAGGGGTTCGTCTGACCTCCCACACAGACAGTCTCAGGAGCACAGGGCATCTCCAGGGTACACTAATAGCCCTGGGTGAATAAATACACCGTCCTTCTTAGAGAAGGTGCACTGGTGACAGTTCCCACAGGACTTGCACAGACACTGCGTCAGGTCATGCTAAAATCACATCATGCCCCCATCGTAGCCAGCAAGTAAGCACAGATGCTAACCCCCTACCCTGTCACTTAGCCAGTAGGGCATCCAGAGGTACCCTTCCCCCAGGAACACCCCCGCATGCAGCTGTCCACTGCCTAGGCTTAAGTGGCAAACGTTCTACCCAGAAAGGGGAGGAGGTCTCCCAGTCCTCATGGCCTCCATGAGGTAAGACTCAACGGAACAATTCTTTGTTCCAGCTGGCCACTCTCAAAAGAGCAAATAAAGAAACATTTCTAAAGTGATTATTTTCTCCTCCCCCCGACCAAAAAAAAAGAAGAAAAAAACAGATAGAGAAATAAATTTGAGAAGAACATATATAAGAGCTTAGGGGACTTGCCCACTGCTTCTAGAAGCCATGAAGTTGAACCAAGACAACTTGATTGCTCATCTTGCCCTCCTCCTCAGCTTCTTTTCAGCTCCCATTCAATCTCTCTGTAATTCTCAATACCTCCAAGGAAATTCCTCCAGGGGACTTTCACCTATTCCGAGGCTTAACATTTCATTAGATGGATCATATCCATTTGGTGTATATATTTCTCATTCCCCTAACTGGAGATAAAGTCTTCTAGTCTTAAATTAATACATGTGTTTCTATTTCACCGACTCCCTCTCCAAAGGCAAACTCACATGCCTCTCTGAGCTATATGCCCCAGCTATCTGCAGAACGCATAAAATGATCTTAGCAGCCAGAGATATTGAACATCTCAATAAAAACAGTTACGACAATTGTAATTTTAACGATCATGAAATATTTATTGAACACTAACCATATGGGAAACATTGTTTTAAGCACTTTAAATGTTTAAATCATTTAATTTTCAAATACCCATTAATAAGGTACTGTTGGTATCCCCATATTACAAGTGAGGAAACTGAGGCACAGAGGTTAAATACTCACTAAACTAGTCAATGTCAGACCCGTGAATTAAGCCTGAGCATCTGGGATATGTGTAACAGGACTTAGCCCATAAGCAAATTATCAAAACATATCTGGCTGAATTTGAGCCAGGCCTTCAGGGAGGCTTGCTGATCTGTCTTTCAGCCCTCTGTCTGATTCCCTCTAGGCTGATTCCTTGTATACCTCCAGGCTCTAGAGTCATTTTTACACCCGCTTCCCTTAGCATTCAGTCCTAATAGGAACTACTGGAAATTTGACTGAATTGTACTGCAAGAGGTCAGTGGTGTGTTTGACCTTTATATGTGTGATAGTCACAAGTAGGACAAACTAGAGAAGGTGTTACTTGAGAAATAAATTTAGAGTCTGGGGGATAAGAGGTCCAGCTCCCTGATAGACCAGGAGGGTGAGGTGAACAAGGGTTAACCCCAAGGAGTGAAATTTTTTTTCAGGCACAGTCTTAGAGAAAAAGAAATGGGAAGAGGGTAGGAGTTTAGAAGGAAAAAGCAGACTAAGGTCCAAATCCTGGTTCCCTATGCGATTTGGGGCAAGTCACTTATCATTCCTAAACCTCAATTTTCTTGTATCTTAATTGAGGATGGTACTTGTTATCATGGAGGGTCACTGTGATGATTTAGGGGAGGTAAAATTATGCCAAGTGGCTACCAAAGGACTGGGCATGTGGTTGGGCTCAGGGCTTAGTCATCCCGAGCCAGCAGAAGAAGGCTGCCTGCTGTTTCTCATCATAGTGTGAAAACCGCTGAGACTGAGAGTCGCTGCTGAGAAGCTCCAGCACCACAGCCAGGGCCTGGTGTCTGTGAGCTGGCAGGAGACCTGTTGTCCCAGAGCCACCTGAGCCAGTCAGTACACTCAGAGGCAGAACAAAAGGCAGGAGCTTCACCAGCAAGCTCCGCTCAGAGGAAACATCTCTTCAGAGGCCAAGAAAGCCTTTGATCTTGGTGAGAAACTGACTACTCTCTCTTCCTCATCCATCTTTCCACCCTCTGTACATGAATTTGTTCACCCATCTCGCCAGCAGGCATCAGCCTCCACACCACCTCTCCACCTGCTGATGCCTCACGGAGGCAGGCCTCCATCCATCAGACCCCCCCAACCCTCCTTCCACCTCTCCATTATGTACAGGAATCAGACAAACCTGGATTGGAATCCTGGGTCTTGCTTCCTAGCAGAATTTGGACAAGTCACTAACCTCTCAAAGTCCTCTCACCTGTGAAATAAAGGGGAAATCTGCTACAGCTGGGGTGACGATTTAAAGACAGAGTGGACATACCAATGCCTGGCCTGAGCAAATGTTCATCCCCTCTGTTCCTGCAAGTGGGCCAGGATCTATACAAGAGAAAAAACCGCTACATCTCGCAAGACATACAGAGAAGTGCATTTTATTTTTATATTTTGAATCTTCAGTGTTTTACTGGTGTGCAGTCCCCCGGGACATCCAGAGATGGGCGGTGGCCAGAGCAGTTCGGGGTCCTGGTCCCTCCTGGACTCGCAGCAGAAAGTGCCACCTAGTGGACTGGCAGCCAGTGGGGTCCCTGGTAGGTCCCTGGTAGGGTTGCTGTCTGCTGTTGGGTGGAATTCTGAGCCAGCCGGAGGTCCCAGTCCCCAGACTGCACTGCCCTTGTTCGGACGCGGTTCACCCACGGCACTCGGGGGGCCCGGACTGCTGGGACCCTTTTGCTTTGTGGATGATAGCTAGCTCTCTTTTGCCTACCCTGGCCCAACTCCCCTTTAAATGTTTCCAGAATCGGGCTATGTGCTGACAGGTCAGAGCCTGGAGGCTGCTTCAGCTTCTGTGTCTCCCTCTCTCTCTGCCCCTCCCCTGCTTGCACCCTCTGTGTGTATGTGTGTGTGTGTGTGTGTGTGCACGCGCGCGCGCGCCTCTCTCTCTCTCTCTCTCTCTCTCTCTCTCTCAAAAATAAATAAATAAATAGATAAATAAATAAATAAATAAATTGTTTCCAGGAAAAGAAAAAAAAGAATATTCTAGCACCTCCTATTTGCTGAGTGTCTGTCACCCATCAGAAACAGGGCTGGGGGCTTCATGTGCATGGTCTCTAATCCTCTAAATGACCCTTAGGGAGACCCAGAAGTTGCCCCATTTTCAGTGAGAAAACTGAGATTTACTGAGGTTGGGTTATTCACTTTAGGTGAGGGTTACACAGTCAAACCCCTGGGTTTGTGGCTGCACTCACCTTCTGTAAGCCCAGCGCCCCCCCTGAAAATGCAGGAAAGATTTTGGACACTGCTTCGAACGCGCCAACTGCAAGAGAAATTTATGAGTCAACTGGGGATATTTGAAGGCTGAATAGATGTTGGATGACATTAAAGAAAGGCTGTTAATTTTTTAACTGTGAAAGTGGCATTGTGGCTATGTTTTTAAAACAGAAAAGAGTCCTTCTTTTTTAGAGATATGCACTGAAATGTGCTCGGAGGAAACAATATGGTGTCTGGAGTTTGCTTCAAAATAGTCTGGGGTGGGGGTTGGAAGAGGACAGTACAAGGCTCAGACCAAACAAGAGGGGCTGACAGCTGTTGGCACCTGGGTGGCAGCAATGTGAAAACTGTGTACGTTGTAATAAAAATAGGTATTCCTTCCTCTGCTTTTGTGTTGCTTCAAAGTTTACGGAAGAGAAGGTTTTAAAGACCAACAGGTAAAAATACAGAGCAGGGGGGGAGGGGCAAGAAAAGGGAAGCCATTTAAAAAAGCAAAGGGGCCCAGGGTCCAACCTCAACGTTGGGGGGTATTAGGGAGCTGATTCATAGGAACAAATGCCTCCAAAGTGGAAAGGGTAGGGCCACCTGGGTAGCTCAGTCAGTTGAGCATCTGACTTCGGCTCAGGTCGTGATCTCATGGTTCGTGGGTTCGAGCCCCTCATCGGACTCTGTGCCGACAGCTCAGAGCCTGGAGCCTGCTTTGGATTCTGCGTCTCCCTCTCTCTCTCTCTCTCTGCCTCCTCCTCTCTCTGTCTCTCTCAAAAATAAACATTAAAAAAAATTTTTTTTTTTTAAGTGGAAAGGGTACAAGAAAGGGGCCAGGGCTGGTGGGAGCAAGCCGTTCTGAGTTGGGCGGATTAAGGAGAAAGGACTAGGGTGCAAGGACGCTAAGGAACAAGATGCCCAGCAGCCACCCCCAGGCCCTCCTGCCTCCCTCAGACCCCACCCCCGTGCTCCCCCCAGGCCCTCCAGGCCCCTCACAGACCCTCCTGCCTCCCGCAGACTCCCCATGTTCCCCTCAGACCCTCCTGCCCCCCAGGGGTGTCCTGTCAACCTCTTAACTGGCTCTAAAGGGACCTGACGGCACCCCCCTCCTCCAGGGCCGAGGAGTCCTGAGGAGTCCACCTGAGGAGTCCTTCCTGAGCCCAGCTTGGCTGGTAAGGATTCAGCTCTCTAGCTTTCAAATGCCTTTTTTTTTTTTTTCTGGCTTTATTTTCTAGTTGGTTTTTTGGAAGGAAAGGAGTTAGTGCTTTTGCCCTCAAACTGTGTACCAAGCTGCTTTCACTGTCCTGAACCCCTTTCTCCCCGCTCTCTCGGCGTCCCCCTTCTCCATCAGTCATATCTCCCACCGCAAAACGACAAACACTAGACCCCAGGTCCAACCAATTTCCCCAGACCCTAGGGACCAGCACAGGCCCCTCCACCTCTCCCCCAGTTCTGGCCGGTCCACAGCGGCCAGACTCTCTGTGCAGGGCGGGGGAGCGGGGGGGGGGGGCTTCCTGGACACCTCGCCCCCCTGGAAACGCTCCCTCCCTCACCCCTCATTCCCCATTTTGGAAAGTCTGCCGGCCACCCAGCGGACAGTTCCTCCCACCGGACCCTCAGGCAGCCTGCTGCATTGCAGCACAGCCCTCAGTGAGGGAGGGGTGCAGCCTGCAGCCACCCCGAGCCAGAGCCTGTCACCCCCTCCCAGCTGTCCCGGGGCAGGGACTGGCCCCTCTCCCCGCCCGCATTTAAAAGCGCGGCTACAAAAGCAAAAGCACCAGCCCCTACTGACTGTCTCCCCCTCCTCAGTTTCCGGGCTCAAAAATGTGGCCCAGGCAGCCCCCTTGTGGCACTTGGGGGCGCCACAGACTCTTGGCTGGTGTCTCAAGAATTCAGACTGTCTGATTCCACTGCACCGTGAGTTGGCACAAATCTTAAGTGGCCCAAGTCCTACCCGATGCAGACCTGGCTCACCGCCTCTCTGAGTCGGGGGCACAGCTCTCCCCCCTCCTTCGCTCCCTCCTCCCTCGGCCCTCCCTCCCCGGAGCCAGAGCTCTCCTGTTGAATACTGCTCGGAAGCAGACAGGTGTCTGAGGACTGGAACGGTGGGGGGGGGTGCAGGGAGGCTGTGGGAACAGGGGCTTTTCTCACAGTGACATTTGGTTTCCATCACCATCTCACGTTTGGGGAAACTGAGGAGCAGGGAGGCTCGTAGTCCCTGTGCCTGTCAGAAAAGGGGCTGGAGACCCTCCCTCCGAGAGTGGGTTCCAGCTTAGAGCAGCTCCCTGAGGTGAGGGGCTGCCCTGATGACTCCCCTTCTCCCCCCCCCACCCCCTGCTCTCAGCCATCACACCCTCATCCCCTCCAAAGCCAGTCCTTCCCAGGAGGAAGCCCTAAGTGCTCTCCCCCCACCACCACCCTCCCCCCCCCCCCCCGCCATGAACTCCATCCTCTCTAACGCACCGTCCACATAAACAAGCCCCAGCCCCCTCCGTCTCTATCTGCAATCTGCTTGGAGGTGGGCAGGGCCCTCTCCGCATCAGGTTAATAATGCCATTTTCATAAGCCTCTGCCCATAGGTGCTCCCACCTAATTTTGAATCTGCCCTTCAAACGGATTGGGCCACAGAGGAGCTGGGATCTCAAGCACCGCTGGGAGGTGCTTATAACTAATCAATCTATCCCCTGCCCACCCACGCCCCCCCAGCACTCAGCACTGCCTTGCTGAACAGTCTTCGGCAGCAGGGTGTGGTGGGGAGCTTCCGACAGCCTGGGGTTCCATCCTAGCCCGACCTCACACCAGCTGAGAGACGGTGAGTATGGCATTTCACATGTCCCTGCCTCAGTTTCCTCATCAACTGAATGGGGATTATGAGGCTGGCGCTCAGAGTTTTCACTGGGGTGAGTCCTAGGCAGACAGCCCGGCCCCTAGGCAGGGCTCCAAGAAACCTCCAGTTATCATCCCCCCCTTGATCACTTGATGCATGGTGACTTACTCCCTGTGTCTCTCCCCCACCAGGCTGAGTTTCCAGGACAGGAAGCTGACCGGCACTGCTTGGTGGCCAGCCTCCCCCTCGGGTCTGGGCCTGAGAAGGTAGGTACGCTGTGGTGGTTTGGAGAATGGGTGCATGGGTGGATGGCCGTTTCCCACAGTCTGTGGGATGCCCAGACCCCACTGGGTTTCTGGCTCCCGGAGGCCCCCCACCACTGCCTAAGCTAGCCCTTCTATGCAGCGGCAGGGAAAAGTGTTCCCTCCTGCCTCACCCTGGGGCCCCTGGTGCAGTCACATACAACGCGAATTCTTGATGCAAGAAATGCAGAAAATGCAATAAATGCGGTTTCCGCCGCCTGCTGCATCTACTGTGAGCTCACAGGCCAGGGGCTGCCTCTGGCTGACATGTTTCGTGCGGTTGAGCCCACAGAGGGGTCTCCGGCAGCCGAGCTTCCCGTCTGTCCTCGGGGCAGGGTCTCCCGAAAGGCCAGACGGTTTTCCTCCCCGCGCGCCACTTGTTACATGTGCGCCTCCCTCCCTGGGTCCCGCTGTCTACTCCGTAAGCGTTCATGAAGTGTCTGATGTGTGCGAGGCCACTCTTATCTCGTTCCGTCTCACGGGGAGGGAGCCCCGCTCTTATCTACTTTTCAGGGAAAAGCCGAGGCTCTGAAAAGCAGAGGGAATCGCGTGGTCTCACAGCTAGGAAGTGGGGAGTCCGGCTCGGGCTGGTGTGTCTGTCTCGGGAGCCCCCCAGCCCCAGCGCGGCCGCCTGCTGCCGCTGCTGCTGCCGCTGCTGCGGGCTGACCAGGGCCGGCCAGCCGCCAGCGGCTCCTGCAGAAAAGGCAGGGGGTTGCATAGAGAGCGTTCTCCCTGGCAACTAGCAAAGGGGCCATAAAAAACGGAGGGCTCAGACGCCGCTTCACAGAGAGATCCGAGCAGCTGGACTTGGGAGGGGAGACCCACGCCCTCCCCTGGGCTCTCGGCAGAACAGCAGGGCAAAGGGGCTCCGTCCCAGACCCAAGCGGGGCAGGGGCAGAGGCGCCCGGGACAGGTGTAGACGGCTGTGATCGGGACGGGGACGGGGACCCCAAATCTGATCCCTCAGCGGGTGGGGGGCTTGCCAGTCAGCCCGGAGACAAGAAGGCTGAAGTGAGCTTGCCGCCTTGCAAAGAGCCGAGGGCAGAGGGGGCCAGGGGGCTGTGGCGGAGCGGCGGAGGCAGAGGCAGAAGCAGGGGAGGGCTCGGCAAAGCAGCTCGGTGTGCGAGCCCTGAGCGGGCTGCTCAGGGAGAGAGGGAGCTCCCTGTTACGGGAGGCATCCGAGCAGAGAGAGGCAGGCCGGTACTTGGCCGGGAGGCTGCAGCAAGGCTCCCTGCCCGGGCTGGCAGCCTGCACGTCTAGGCCTCTGAGAAGCTCCTAGAGAGCTAAGTCCCGAGCGGGGCTGGCTGCAGAGGAGGCAGGCTGGGGTCAGAGCAAGGATGCACAGACTTTCCCATGTACCTTGCCCTGAGCTGAATGGCAAAGGCACCGAGATGGCTGGTGGAGCGCTTCTGTCACAATGAGGCAGTGAGGGAGAGGAGCAGAGAATGGGGGTGAGTGCTCGGGGCCAGCGGGGGCGGCGGGGGCGGAGGAGGTGGGGGGCTGTCTTGCAGCCAACTCCCCATCTGGGGGGGGGGGAGCGGGGGGGGGGGGCGGCCCGAGCCACCTGGAGTGGCCAAGTGCCCGCCCCAGCTCCCAGGCCCAGAAAGGCTGGCCTGGGTCCTCTCTGGGGCAACAGGCTGGTGCAGCGGGTGGGGGGAGCCTTCCTGTGGGGGAAGTAGGAGGAGGGGGGTCTGGTGAGTGGAGAGGCCGCCCGGTCATGGGAAAAGCAGGGCCCTTTTCTGGAGGCTGGGCCGCAGCCACGGATTCAGCCGGCTGCTGGACCATGACTTGGATGCTCTGGGGACTCATGAAAGCCCCCTTGCCCGGTGACGGGGCCCAGGGGCCTGCATGTTGATGAATGCGGCCCACGGCGCATCGGGCGCTGGCTCTCCAGGCCCATTCACGGAGGCTCGGTTCCCAGGAACTTTGGGCGGATGGGGCCTTTATCAGGGGACCCCTCCCCAGACGAGGCTCTGTTCTGCAGTTTCTAAAGGAGTTTTCTTGTCTTTGTTTCCAGTGCAGGCACTCAGCGCGCGTGCACGTGTGTGTGTGCGTGTGTGCGTGTGTGTGTGTGTGTGTGTGTGTGTGTGTGTGTGTGAGACAGGCTGGCAGAGGGGCCAGCCGGTTCCTTGTCTGTGAAATGGCCAGGCTGCCCTAGCTCACCCTCGAGGCAGGGACACGCTTCCACGGGACAGTAGGATTCGGGGAGGGCAGAGACACCGGGGACCCAGGGATGGAGCTCCTGTCACTGCAGCCTAATTGTCCCGCTCCGGATAATCCAATCCAGCCGGGGCACTGTCGGGGTCCCAACAGCTGCTCTGACCCGCCGTGGGGGGGCAGCAGCGTGTTGCTGGTGGAGAGTGCAGGCTGGCTCCCCACAGACAGACAGACTGCCCCCCCCCCGCAGCCCCCCTTAGGAGCTGCGAGCTGGCTCTTGGGGAAACTGCTTGTCAGAGCCTGGGGGTTTTGTTGTTATTTTGTCACTGCTCTCGTTTTTTTTAATCTATTAAAGGATTGCTTTGAAACTGTCATTCGAAAATGTGGGGTAAAATGGTATTTGCATATGCGTAACTGTCTCTGCGGCATTACATGGGGGAGGGGAGGTAATGCGGGGTGCGGAACAGAAGTCACGCACATGAGAAATTTTGCAAATAAAGGTTTCTGGTCAGGGGTCGAGGGTGGTGCAAGGAAAGAGCTCAGAATTGCACTGGTGTGGGTCCGAAAAGTCACCTGACCCCAATCCCTAACCAGGCAAAGGCCACAGGGCAGCAAACCTTTTAGCCCCCGATGCTGCAGGGGCTGCAGGGGCTCAGGCAGGCTGGGGAAGGGGCTCCTGCTGAGAGGGAGGCACTATTCCCCTCCCCATTAAAGCTCCAGACACAAAGAGGCGGGCTCCCCTGCCTCTGTCCCTGTCCCTGCCCCTGCCTGAGGGTGTGGGGGGGGGGTTCAGCATGAAGCAGGGGCTAAGGGGCAGAGGGGTAGCGGGCAGAGGGCAGAGGGCAGAGGGTAGAGGGGCAGAGACTTAAGCAGCTCCACAAACAGCCCTGGGTGAGCTACTGCAGAGTAAATAAACCAAACGTTCTGGAGAGAGGAGTCTTTGTGCCCCACAGCAGCCGAGGAAGTTCACTTTTGTGTAAAAGGCAACACACGGGCCCGTGCTTGCACTAGGTAAGGCTGCTCTACGCACAAAAACCTCCTTCAGGCTGGGCCCGGCCCAGGGAGCGTTTTCTGTGAAATTCAGGAGAAGTCCGGTTTAGCCAGAAGTTTTTCCAGGAATTATTAACCTCTGGAGACTATAACCACTGTTCCTTCCGAGCCGCCCTTGCCAAAGTCTATAAAATACAAGCCTAAAAAATCTGCCTGAAGAGCAGTCTGACGTTTTATATATATTTATAAAAAAAATAAAATAAAATAAACTATTGCCAAACTTTTCAGGAGAACCCAATTAAAGCCGGTGGGGGCAGCCCTTCCCCGGCCCCGGGGTGTTGAGAGAGAAAGGCCGGTGTTTCCCTTGGGTGGGGGGTGGGGCCTGCTCCGGGGCCTTTATTCCCTGCTCATACTCTTCCAGCCTTTTTATTTTCCTCTGCGGGTCTCCGGGAGGGAAGGTGAGGCCTTTCAGACGGGCCGAGATGGGAAAAGCTCCTGTTTTCCAGCCGCTACTGCGCTGAGTGATTTATTTCTGCTATTGTCTCACTATGCCTATCGCTACGCGGTGTGTACGTATGCTTTTCCGATCAGGAAACTGAGGCACAGGAATTCTTGGGGCCTTGCCAAGGACATGCACGCCATGTCCGTTCTGTAGCTGGGTTTGTGCTCAAGATGGCCGGCTTCTCAGGGTGGCTCCCACCCACCACCCTGGGGGGGAGAAAAAGAGGACCAAAACCTTGAGCAGCTCGGGGGACATCTGTCCCTCTCACAGGCAGGTGAGGCCCTCTGACCCCAGGATGATGTGGATCTGGCATCCCAGTCCCTCTGCCCCAAAACCTGTGCTCCTCGAACACAACCCTGTCCCTGGAACCTTCACCATCCCCCCAGCCGGTGGCCCTGCTGTCACATATGAAGACTTACCTCCTTCTTAGGTTCTGGGACCAGGCCCCTTTCCCTCTCGCAAGGAGAAGGTCATAAAAGACGTAATCAACCATTGCCAGGCCATGATTATGTCCCCCAAACCCATCACCAGCACACTCGCCCGGGAGATGCTATCATCCCTCACTCACGGACCACGACCCAGGGTTCTGGGGTCCTCGTGGCAGGCATGGAGGGAACCTGGTGTTGCACCCCAGAGGGCAGGACAGAGCAGTCTGGGGCAGTGGGGGGAGGCCTGGGCTCCCAGGCGTGTGTTTGTGGTCTGAAGGCATTCATAGCACTCACCCAGTGTGCAGGGCAGACGCCTCAGTCCTCAGGAAAAAATGGGAGGTCTTTTCAGTCAGGGGAAGTCAGATCCAGGCAACACAGGGGGCCGAGGGCACTGGACAGGGACAAAGGAAAGGGGGGGATTAACATGTGGCTGGTCATGAATTCTAGAAAAATGCAAAACCTTCTCCCGAACTAGGAAAACATGTCAATGAGGCATTGCCCTTTGGGGGGACTGTACTTTGCTGCACTTTTGAAGGAGGTGTTAGGGGCAGTTCACCGTGGGGTGCATTTCAAAGCCTGGTCCTAAGGGCTCAAGACAAGCTGGTTGAAAGGTCACGGCCAAAGCCCCCAAGTGTAAAAGGCAGGGCCCACACAGACAGGAGCAGTAGCTCAGGCCCGCAGTGTGCCTGCAGGGGTGGGGGTGGACAAGGGGTGAGGGGAGAGGCTGGGAAGCTCCCACCCAGACCCCGAAGGGTCCTACGTGCCAGGCTAAGGCTTTTGGATCACATCCCAGAAGTTCCAGGAAGTCAGAGGGAGGATTTAAAAGCAAGACAGTGACAAGGTCAAAATGGCATTTAAGAAAGATCACACAGTGAAAATAAACTTTGCAAACCATTTAACCCAGCTACCCCACCTCCAAGAAATGGGGATAAAGGAACAGCCACGGATGTGTTTACAGACCGAGCTATAAAAAAGCTCGTTGCAGGGCTGTTAGCAATAACAAAACGGGAACGGCTCAGGTCCTTTTCAGTGGGCATCAGTTGAGCAAAATTGTATGAATTAAAACTTCGGTTCATGACGCACTCATTCATTTGTGCAAGGATCACTTTTATTTTATGGATTCACTTTTATTTATTTGCATAAATAATAGAACAAACACCCATGAGCCTGTGACCCACCCCCACCCCCACCCAAACGACCAGGACTTGGACCAAAGCTTCTATCCGGACACATTCTCCCCCACCCCCCCTCCCCCGCTGCCCCCCAGCACGTTTACAGCTGGGATTTTGAACAATAGGAGAGGGTCTAATCAACAATGGTGCTTACATACCCCGGAATATTAAACAGCTCTTAAAAAGAATGTAACAGCAGAGACCTATTGTCTTTTAATGGACCTCAGTATTTTGCGCAGAACTGGATTAATCATGATTCTTTGTTCATAAACACTTCGTCATCATTGGTCCAGGCTTGGCCCTCTTTTATTTTGCTAATTTATGCATCCATATATTCATTTGTGATAATGTCATAAACACTTGTGAGCTGATCCTCAGATCCTGAGCTCAGAAATTACTGACACCTGCCGCCACGCTCCGTCCCCACGGGGTAAGGACCTGGGGCTTTCAGGGCAGCGGTGAGGGGGTTAAAGCAACCCGGGTGCACGCAGATTACAGGGTACTAAGGTGTGTTCTAAGGAACACTGTGTCGATCTTTATTATCTCCAAGCGGATGCCTGTGTGGAGACAAATGCTAAGCTACGCAGAAGGAAACGGACACTATGATGTAGTTTGCGTAGAAAATAAACAAAATCATCTATTTCAGAGATCTATTTATATACGTACACAAGTGCTCAGAAAAATATCTGGAGCCTTGCACCTGAAACTGATAACAGCGGGGGGGGGGGGGGGGGGGGGGGCGGGGGGGGCAGGCGGAGCCGGGCTTGGGCCTGGGCGGGGGTGGGGGGGGAGCGGGTACAGATGGCTTTAGCTTTTATGTGCAGTATTTAGTTTTTAGTAATGAGTGTATTCATTATCAGTGCATTTCTTGCATAATTAAAAGAAACATTTTGTGTGGGGTTTTTTTTTTTTTGGTTTTTCTTTTTTCCCATTTGTTGTTTGGGGGCCCCTGGGGGGGGGGAGGGGTTGTTTTCCTTTTTTACAAAAACAAAATGAGCATTTTGGCTGAAGGCCCAGGATCAGGCACTTACCCCCAAAACAAGCTCTGCAGACATGGGGGGGGGGGATTTATTTTATCCCAAAGATCATTCCGTTTTCGATTTTATATGTTCTCAAGCCGGAGCCCCGGGGCCTCCCGATGGCGTGTCAGTGACATGAGGCCAGCAGGTATGTGTCTGCCGGCTGCGATTTCGCCACCCACAGGCCCGAGATCCTTCCAGAGCCGCCCAGCGGCTGTCTGCAATGCACCCATAGGGGAGGACTTTCCTTTTCGGTCTTTAAGAGGCCCCAAAAGTTAATGCCCTGGCCGGTGTTCTCGGGGATTAGCTAACCGGAATGAGAATTCCAGGAGAATTCGACATGAGATAGGCCTGGCGGGGGGGGGACGGGCGGGCCTCCGGGGAGCGGCGGCCCCTCGGCTCACATGCGTCAACAGCCGCGCAGCCTGCAGGCAGCCAGCCGGGGCCTCGCCGTGTCCTCTGACAGCGAGGTTCCCGTGCAGAACCCACAGCTGCCATGGTCACCCCCCAGCTCTAATCAAGAGGGAGCGAGGCTCAAGGGCACGGGTATTTATTTCTAACCCATCTGCCCCCCTTCTTGTCCTGGGTAGCACATGGCACCGTGGCCTCCCGTCAGAATGCCCTCTCCCCAAGACACCTCGGCTCCTGCTTGCTCACTAAGCCTCAGACTCAACTCCCCAGGCCCCTCCACAGCTGTCTCGGCTGTCAGAATCCCCGAGCAGGCTCGGGGCTGAGTGTGCGGCAAAACCCATCCTGGTCTCGTCCGCAGATGGAGGGGCCGAGGCTCCGAGGCCTCCCCGCCCAGAACACAAAACTAAGCCAACTTTAAATCCCATCAGTCTGAGCCCTCTGTCCGGTTTCAGCCTGGCCCTCCACTGCACAGAGCCACTAACCCATCCATCGGTTAGTCTTCTCGCTAACACAGACAGGGACCTTCTAGAACTTTCCTCCCCCCTGCCAGGCAGAGATCTATTTTCAACCATGACTTTGTGCGGAAGAAATGTGAGCACAGGTTAACTAGCCGTCTGCCAGCTCTTAATCGCCTTTCCTGCACGCGAGGCCCTGCTGTTTATTACATAGTATTTTCTTTTGGCCTGGGTTTGGTCCCGGTGAATACTTTGGGGTATCTGTCATCATTCTTCAGATATGAAGTGTCTTACAATAAATAAAAATAAAATGTGGTACCCAGGTTGACATCACCTGCATCCACCTCGGGGCCAGGGTAATTCAACACGAAGACATTCACTCCTCCAGGAGGCTACATAAATCCGGGCAATGCCAGTACACGTCATACAGCTGACTCAAGCAAAGGCTCTCCGGATCCCAACACTGACCCCGACCGTCCCTACTCCCCTGGCCTTCCCTCTGGGTTCGATGAAAACGGGAAGGGCTTTCAAAGAGGCCGGGGACAGATGCCCCTCAAGTAAGAGTTCTTTCTATCTGTGTTGAGTGCCTACTATGTGCCAAGCGTTTTCTATTTTTATTTCACCTAAGGTGTCAAGGCAACACTTGAAGATGGCTGTCCCCATCCTACAGAAGGAGAGGGGGATTCACTGTCACTTGACCAAGGTCACCCAAGGGAGCCGGCCCTGTCTGGCCCCCAGCAGGCCCCCCGAGCCCCCATCAGAGAGGTCCCGTTTGTCGGCACCCCTGTGTTTCATGGTCAGAGATTTTAACACCTCCCTCGATTTCATGTAACAGAGTAACAGCATTATTCTGCGTTTCTCATCACATTCCCACATTAATGCGATGTGACCCTGTACTCCTCACTGCCTCTACCTCCCCAGAGTCTTGTATAAAGACAGGGAGCACATACCTGGTCTGCTGTGGGGTCAGCGTAGGAGGGTCCCATTCCCCTCTGGGCAGGTGTGGTATCCCGAGGGTGCAGGGGCCAGGGCTGGGCCGCACCCTGGCCTCTGGAATCCACTGACTCACTGCCCATCCAGGGGGCAGTGAGCCTCAACTGCAAAATAAAAGGCTCAGGTTAGTTCCATTCTGAGGGGTCCACACATTTGCAAATTGTCCAAATTTACAACTCAGAAAAAATAAATGCATTTTTCAGACCTTTCGATTCGATCCTGGGCCAGGCATCTGCTCCCTCTCTGGGGGAAAAGCTGTCTCACCTCCAGCCACCTGGGAGGGAAGAAAAGAGACTGCTCACAGAGTTCAGCCCGCCTCTCGGAGCCCCCCTCTCGGAGACGCCGCCTCCGGCCTCACCTGCCGCCTGCAGCCCTACTGTGTGCCAAGGGAGGGTGGGATGGCATAGCAGGCACACACTGGCACCAGGGGCAGGACAGAACCGCCACGGGGGCCCCCATGGGCGGGGCCCCAGGTGAGGGAAGGGCCAGCAGCCTGGGCAGATGCTACTTACAAGAGTCTTTCTCGGGGTCACACAAGGGACCCAGGCCCCAGACTCACATCGACTCTCGTGTGCATTTGCCGAGAGCCAACTGGGGGTCTGACAAGAACAGGGGTCTTGCCAAGAGCTTGGGAGTCCAGGGGGAGAGCTGAGCACGAGCACCCGCGTGGACTCGCTGGCTTGTGCGTCCACGGGAGGTGCGACCTCAGGCAGACCCAGCTGGAGAATGAGGTCAGGCCTGTGAACGATTCGAGATCTGCCCCCGAGCCTCAGGTTCCTCTTCTGGAAAACGGGGACAATAAAAGTAACACCTTCACAGGCTGTCTGGCACGTACTAAGTACTCAAGACGCAGGATGGACGTACCCGAACGTAGGAATGGGACACAGGCCTGGGAGAGAAGCAGGAAGGCAGGCTGTGGAGCGGGCTGGGGTTAGAACAGGGAAACGTGCACACACGTCCCAAGGCCTGGACTTTCACGATTAAAGAAATAAATGTATCCGATTACTTTGTAGAAAGAAGACAGATTCCAGTCGACAAGGCGACAGGATCAGAGCTGCTGAACAAGTGCATCAAAGGTAAGACTTGTGATGGAGGTACCATGCTGACCTCCCCCCGGGGGGGGGGGGGGGCTTGTTCGTGGGGTGGGGGGCGCTGTGCTGGGCAATACATGGGACAGGGGTTTGGCCGGCCGGCACTCAGGAACAAAGGTCAAAGGGATCGTTTGTCTGCAGGAAAAAAAACATGACATGGGGGACTAGGTACCTCGCTCAAACACCCGAGTGGCTATAATTAGTAGGTCCAAGGCCAGCTGTCCTGTCCCTCTGCCGACAACCAAATTAGCCAAAACGAGTTGGCAACGACCACGTGACCTTTTCAGGGCGATGGGGGCAGACACCGAGGCCCCCTCTGGTCTGGCCTCCCGTCGGGTCATGAGGCTGAGCATACGGATACCATGGAACGAAAACAGGCTCTCTGGCCGAGGTTCCCTCGGGGTCCCCAAGCGGCCACTGTCCACCCCCGGCCCAGGACACGCGTTCCTGCTTTCTCCTTCCACGGTGGAAACGGGAACACCTGACTTTGCACACCGTCTCTTCCTTCCTGACCTGGGCTCTCTCAGTGCGGGGCAACAGGAACTCTGTCCTGGGCCAGCCGGCGAGGATGGTGCCCGACACAGAGCAGACGCCGGGGAAACCTCAGTTTCGATAAATGAATTCTAACTGCCCCCGTCTGGATGGCACTCGCCTCCACCTGTGCACAGCCCACCCCTCGCTAGCTTCCCTCATCAGCCGGCTGCTCCCGGGACGCTCCGTGCTCTCGCTCCCGATGCCACGGCCACTGCTAATTAGAGCTCCGGGGCAAGTCATTTCGGCCCTGGGGCTCCGGCACACTCGCTTGCCTCACGGCGTGAGTGTGGAAATTAAAGCTGGCCCAGGCGTGAAAATGTCCTCTGAGGGCTGACTGTCCAATTACAACAGGTGTCCCAAGAGTCCTCGTGATAATCCCAGGCCTTTCCTTGTCGGGAGTGTCTCCCAGCTTACAAAGGGCCCATCTCCCCTGGGGAAGGAGTCTGCCTCCCACTCTGGCCGTACTTCCACTTGCATCAAGGCCAAGCCCCCCTCATCTCCCTGCAAGCCCACACCCCCCTTCTCCAAGAACCCTCTCCCCCGAGGCCTACAGCTCCTGGCCCGTCCACACCAGGCACAGAGGGACCCAAAGAGATTCCACTGAAACCACCCCGCTCCTCCAGCTCCAAGGTCAGACAGGATATACCACAGACAGGACCAGCCAGGCTGTGCTCCCAGGCACGACTTGCATGCGGGGACCTCTCTTTAAATGAGATAGTATGAGGATCCCCAATGTCTAACACTATCTTTAAATAGTAATGAGGACCCCCAGCTTCCGGAATTGAGTCAGGGTGGGGTCGCCGAGCTCTACCTGCTCAGCCAACCCCCTCTTCTTACCGCTGCTCCCCAGGTCACCCCTCAGGCACCTCCCAGGACCCCCGAGCTCTAGGAACAGAGTGAGAACACCCCCTGCCCAAGCCCTCCTTGCAGTTCTGGGTAAACTGAGGGCCCAGGAAGAGAGAAGGTCACGCTCAAAGTGAGCGTGGGTCCCAGGCGGGCAGCTGGCACCAGCTCCTTCCTCTGCCCGCTTGCCTTGAAAGGCAAGCGTGGCCTGGGGAGCAGCTGATTGGTCTGGCCCGTTTGGGCAACCGAAGGAAGAAGGACACTCTCACGGGTGACCCCTCTCCCGGTCCCTCCCAGGATTATTCTGGGCAGAGTGATCCAGCTAGCTGCCCCCTGGAGCTGCCAGTCAAGCGAGGAGGCAGCGGGGAGGAGGGAGGGCTGACAGGGAATCGGCCACCGGCCTACTGCTAAGTCGGGGGCGCCGCCCCTCGCCTCGATGGGGACCCACACACAGCGGTTTGGGACTGGAGAAGCCCTGGGGCGACCCCCAGCTCTGCAGTAACTCCATGTCTGTCCCGAGTCACGGCCACCCCCCTCCCAGAGACTGTTTTCCCAGTGACATCTGAGGCCCAGTGCCCAGGTGAAGAGAGGGAAGAAAAACCAGAGCTGGCTGCTCTCGGTCAAGAGGAGAAGGGTCTCCCAGCTGTAGGGCCCAGGTGGTCTTAATCCACAAGGCAGGGGGTGAAGAGGCAAACAGGGGTCCACAGGGGTCCACAGGACCCAGGACCCACCCAAGGTCCCCATGGGGCTCTCGGGGAGCCACCTCGGAGTCCCAACTGGCAAGCAGAGTGGGGAGAGTGACCTCACCACTGGTCTACACCAGGAGACCAAGGAGCCCCGGGCCTGGCGTAACAAGGGCACATCTTGACCTCGACGTTAGTTTAACGCAGTAATCACTACCAACCTGCAGCCCTGCTGGTGTCCCTGCGTGCCCACCCCCCGTCGTGATGCTCAGCAGGTCTAGGGCAATGGAGAGAGTAAACGGGGGAGGGGGGCATTTATTTCAAGGGGACCTAGCCCTCAAGACCTGGTGGCTGTGTCCCTCAAACCCAAGTGGCTCCGAGGACAGCCTGGAGGCGGGCCAAGACAGGCCAGGATCCTCATCTGGCCCCAGCCCTAACGACCATTCTGCCAACCCAGAAGGCCAAGGCTACAGGGGTCGGTGCTGGTGTCTGAGAGGGAGGAGAGAAAGGGGAGCACGTGTCAGAGGACCCCCCCCCCCCGCCGTGGTCCCTCGTTTCCCCTCTGCCTCTCCCCCGATCCCCGCCCCAGGCTCAACTCTGCTCCTAAATACCCCACATCTCCTCTTCCAAGCTCTATTTTTAAAATCAGATTTCCTTTACTGTACAAGTGAGCTGACACGAGGAGGTATTCGCGGAGGGATTGGCCCCCCCCCGCCACCCCCCCCCCACACCCAACCCTTCATAGACTCACGCTGGCGGCCTTGACCCAATGGGCCACTTGCTCAGCAGCAAGCAGGGAGCTGACCTGGCCGAGAAGGCTCTCGGCACTGAAGGTGGTGAGGCCGGGGTGTCTGTCTATGAGTGTCGGGGGGAAGAGGGTCCGACTCAAAGACCTCAAGGGTGCTTCTGACCCAGACCAGGTGCACTAAATCCTGAGTTTTATTTATTTTTAATTCTTTTTTTTTTTTTTTTTTTTTTGCTAAGGTGGGAATTGCCAGATCAGTAGATAGATATTTCTTCAAGAAATTGTCTTGAGGTCTGAGACCTCAGCATTTATCGAGCTACATTTGTCAGACCAACACTATTACCTCTGGAGAGCCCAGAGAAGAGGTAGGGCAGCCTCTGGGCTCTCCAACTATAGCAGATGGACATTTGGAGGGCAGGAGTCAGAAGGAAGCCCGTAGCCACCTTAGAAAGCCAGACGTGGTGGGGGGGGGGGGGGGAGAGGCACCCGCGCTTTGCAAAACAATGCTCCAACAATGCCCAAAGTCCTCCCCAAGGGACAGGCAGCTGAGCCCAGCGGAGCCTCGAAAGAGACACTCGCCAGCAGTAGAGGGAGATCCCTGATCTTGGCCCCCCCAGGACCCTGCACTCACCTCCAGTGCGACATCTGACATGAGGGTGTGGTCCTTTTCTCCTTGCTAGGGACGTTCTGCAAGGCAAGATTGTTTCCAATTCTTCCCGTCTCAGGGATCGCACACAGTGCCTGGCCCAGAAAAAAGAATCGGGACATGTTGCTGTAATGAATTAATGAAATGTAGACAGAGGGACTAGCTTAACAACATAAAAAGAGCCAGGACTCTAAAATTAAGATGAGTTTAGAGGCAGGAAGGAAGAAACCCGGTCTTTGAGGAGTAAAGTGTGAAAGGAGCAAAGAACTGCATCTAGAAATTGGGGAGGGTGAAAATTGTTGCTTTCGTGCAAAGGAACTGAAGCTTTATTTTCTAAGCACTTGAAGAGCAAGTGTAAAGATTTTCTTAATGCAACAAATATCTGGTCCAATTTTCGTTTCCTGCTCAGGCATTTGGATTTTATGCCTTAGACATGAAATTCGCAAGGTTTTACAAACACGGTGATTGAAGATACTGAGATGTTGATACATGTTGTTAGCTATGAAAATAGAGGAAAAGATTTTAAGCGGGATTCTAGGAATAGATGTGGCGTTGGGGGGGGGGTCTTTATTTTGAGAAGTGACTAGAACCAGTTTCTATATCATGCTAAGGAGTTTGGATTCTTGCCAAAGGGTCTTAAGAAATGTGATGGTGAGATTTTTGCTTGTGGAAGATAAATCTGCAGGAAAAACACGTGAAAAGATGTATTTTAAGGCTAACAGCTTTGGACTTTATAACACAGGGAACATTGAAAACCTGTAAATACAAAAGCAACAGCCACGAATTTAAGTATCCTGCAAAAACCTTTGCACTTTCTATCTCGAGGGGTGCCAATGTCTGGCTTTCAGAGGTTTGACAGATGTCAACACCAAAACTGAAAAACTCCAATCGTAAGAGTTATATGATCAACGCTGGGATCACGCAAAGAAATTTGAAATTTATTTTGAGGCTCCAACTTGACTGGAGTTCTGTCCATGCCTAGAAATTTGATTTTAGCCAATGAAAAGTTCTAAGAGAGTGACACGGTAAGAGTTTTCTGTGGTTGATAAATACTACGCAGAGAAATTACAAAATAAAATTCGCATTTCGTGCTAAGAATTTGGACTTTTATTCCATAATTTCACAATTAAGAGACACTGTTAAGATTTTAAGAAGGAATTACAGGATCAAATTTTATATGCCGTGCTAGGAAGTGTGAACTTTATTTTAAGGGATGACAAGATCGAGTTTTTATATCATGCTAATACGTTTGGATTTAAGCCAGTGAAGGGTTCACAGGAATGACGGGATGAGATTTGGGTTTTTTTTATAGACCAGTCTGCAGATAAATTACATGGTAAAATGTTGCATTTTATGTTAAGTAGTTGGGACGTTATGTTACGGGCAATGCAGAAACCTTGGAACGTCTTAAATTGGGAGTTACGTGATCAAACTTATGCATGTTGGCAGAGCTACAAGACTGGGTTTTTATGGTAAAGATAA